AATCTATCCATGACACTTTGCATGATTACAAAGTTTTCATGTGCGGAAAAGAGAGGTTGCTGCAAATTTTGCAGATTCTTACTGACAACGTGCAGGCTATCATATCTTTCCCAAAATTAATGTTGTGAATTTCAAGAGAACAAAATTTCAGATGTATTTCGCCACGTGTGCCATCGGAATCACCATTAATTTCATATCAGTATCATACAATTCATAACAACAGTCCCTCCAATGCTTTGTAATAATCCACATTCCAGAAAAGTTTTACTTTCTTTGTTACGAAAAATGTAAAACATTTTAACTGAATTTTATTTTTTTAAAATTAAAATTTTTATATTGATCCTTATTTAATTGAGTGTTTAAATATAAAATAACTTATTTATTAAATAATTTTTTAAAAAAATATATTAATTATATTTTAAAATATTAAACATGTCATACATTTTTAATCAAGGAAGTAATAATTTTATCACAGGGTTATCAACTAAATTTTGTGAAATATTAATTGATTTGTTTAAAAACATGTTTATTATTAATTTCTCCCTTAAGGAATAAATAAAATTATATATTTTTCAAATTATTATGACATTTTAAAATTACTTTTCTATTTTTTTTGACTTTTATCTCAAAGCTAGACCCATTTTTAAGTAAAAGAAAGAGAGCTGTAATTATGAATAAAATATTCAAAAAAAATGGTTTATGAATTTTTAACAAAAGGTCTTATGCTAAATGTAAATAAATTCTGACATATATCTGATAAATAAGATTAAATGGAGCTGAACAAATTACAAAATATAGTAATGATTTATATTTGTTGACAGATTTTATTATTTATTGAAATAAATTTTTCATTCTATTATTAAACATTTAAATCATGTTGAATACGTAGAAAATATTTAAAAAATATTGCATGCATGAAACTCCATGAAATACATGTAAGAAACATTTAGAGAATAAAAAATGTGTATAAGACTTCAAAATTATACATTATTCATGACTGAACATTATCTAATTACTGTGTAAGTAAATTGTATTGTTTATAATTTATAATGGAACATCAATAAAAATGTTTTATATTTTATATTAATTGATATATTAGTTATTGTTAATGTTGGAAAAAAATCATATTCCCTTCTTCCTAAATTATAATATACTTTGATCAAAATTCATATATCAATAACTCTTATTAAATATACTTAATAACTTTTTTAAATAAAAATATGAACTTTTAAAAATGACTTTCATTTAATAAGAATGAGAATTAAATAAAAAGATAGAGAGGTTAGTATTAGATAAGACTTATTTAATAAAATTTTAATTTTTTAAAGTGCTTCATATTTGGAAATTTTGAGTTTTTTAAAAAAATATCTTGTAATTTAAAAAAAAAAGACTATTAATTAGGAAGAATTGTGTTGTAAATCGTTGGTTGTTAACACACTCCATGGTAATTAATTTTTTTATGTAAAATTTGTATGTAATTTTTTTATTAATTATTGGTCGTTGTCATTAACGTACCTCCGTAACGTTACAGGTGTTTCGGCCTTGAAACTCTTCCATTCAACAATGAATCTTCAAACTTGAATTGTAAATTCCAATGGTTTCTTTTCTTTTGCGCTTTTGCAGTCTTGCTTAAAACTTGCATTCAAAGACGGAATGACAGTGTTGGCAAAAAAATTTGTGCCCCCACAGAAGAATTTTCAATTTTATTATGAGATTCTTTAATATATAATCTTTCTATTTAAAAATATAAAATATTTTTAATTAAATTTTAACTTTTAATAAAAAATTTATTTTAAAATTAATTTATTTTTATATTTAATTTTATTAATAAATTGTTTCACTCTAAAAAAATAAAATAATCTATTTAATAGGATACTTTTAAAAAATAATTATACTTTAAATAATTTAAAATGTCTTATTTTTAAATAAAAAGAGTATATATATATATAATTAATAAATATGAGCATATTGAGATTATTATAATGAAATTGATAGTTATATTCTTTAAAATTGTCAAAACAATACGTAACTTTTTAATTTTATTTTTTAATTAATAATCATAATAAATTATTGCTTAGAAATTTAAATGATAATAAATATAGAAGGAATAAATTTAAAAAAATTAATTATTCTAACTTTGTCTTATATAGTTATATTAAAAATTAAAATTGGATGGTATGATTTATGAGAAAATTACTTAGTTACTTATGGGATTTGGATTCCATACAAGGAGCAAATCCAAATATTTGATTGTATATCTACAACTTATTTTTTTAAAAAAATTATAGAGAACTTAAGTATCATTAATTTTCTCTTTGAGAATTTAATTGTCATTCCCCATGTTGTCTTAAATCCAATATAAATTTTCTCGGTGAAATTCACAAGTCAGTCACACATAAACAAAAAATAATAAATTTGAATCTACCGTTTTTTATTTTGCCAACTTGAATCAACATGGGTCTCATTTGGTAAATAGAGTCTGATCGATATATTTATATAATTATATCTGCATTATAATATTTTTTTCTGCAAGGTATACAAGAAACCAAAAATTCATAAGTTATGAATGATAAAACTCTTATTATATCCAGTAAAAAACATGAGCCCAAATTCTAATTTTCATAACAAATGAGGAAGCTAAAGTAATTATGTGTAATTTTAATGGGAAACAAAAGAAAATCTTTTCGAAAACAAATGAAAATCGGTTCATGTTTTTTTTAGGAAAATCATAATCAAGGACCCTTGGGGATAGTTAATTACACTGCAGGACTAAATAATTTTGATATTACTTTACAGGACTAAAAAACCTAAATGTAATTAAAATTTGTTGTGAAAAAACAAAATTATCTCTGATGTATTTTGTTGTGACAGGAGGATTATTATTGTTAAAATGAGAATGTGACTTGTTTTTTTTGAACGAAAACTTGTTCACTAGATTATAACAATTCCTCTATCAAATTAATATTTTGTAGTTGTTAATAAAGGAATCGATTGTTGTTAGATAAAAATGGGACTTGTTATTTCTTGAATGGAGATTTATTCACCAAATTAAAACATTTTTTTCTCTATCACTAAGTTAGTTTTTTTGAAGTTGTTAATAAGGAAATTAGTTGTTGTTAAAATAAAAATGAGACTGTTTTTTATTACATTTATTCACCAAATCACAACACTTGTTCCTCTGTACCACTAAATTAACTTTTTAGAATTATTAATAAGGGAATTGATTGTTGTTAAAATGTGAATAAGACTTAGTTTTTTTTTTTTTTTGAATGAGGAGTTATTAAAAGAGTATGTAATATACACATGAAGGGTATTCTTGTCTTTTCACAACAAAGGAATGTACTTTGGTCCTGTAGAGTAATTTCAAAATCTTTAATCTTACAGTGTAATTAATTGTTTCTAACGGTCCTTGATTGAGATTCTCCTTTTTTTTTTTGGGATGAAGTGTTCATGTTTCTTCCTTTCTTTTCTGAGGTAACATTCATGTTTCTTTTAATCAACACGTGTTCCAAAATTGAGGTCCAAGTTCAATATAAGGCTTAAGGCCCAACAAGAAATTTCATTTTGGGCTCACAAACGAGATTGGATCAAGCCGGACAGAATTCATGAAGACTACCCCATTTTAATATACCCATCTGGGTTTAGCCCTCTTTCCTACTAAAAAAAGAAAAAAAATGAAAATGATATTTAAAAGGTTTATTTTCATAATCATCAGTTTCAATATGAAATATAAAAAAATATGCGTAGTTTTATTTTGCTAGAAAAACTATTTATATGAAGTTAAACTATTGGAATAATGGATAACATATGGACCTGGATTTACATTATATTTAAATAAGATACAACCGTTCTCCTTGTAAAGCGCATAAGATTTTAAATTATATTGTCATAAACGGTAATTAGAAAATAATATTTTTTAAAAATTAATTGATTGATTTGATAAAAATATGAAAACATGTTATGTTGAATATATTTCATAATATTTATTTATATTTTATCTGTGAAAGATATTTAATCTTTCATTTTAAATTTGTTATTCCTTCTAACAAAATATTATAAATTAAATAATTAATATATTTAATAAGATAACTTCGACTTGGTGTTATTATGAATATATTATAATTATAAATACTTATTAGGTATATATTAAGCTTCCTTTCAAACTTAAATAGCATTTATTTATAAATTTTTATTTATTAAATTACACACACACGCGCACATTTAATTTCTTACTGAAAATAATTATTTTCTCAAAACAATCCTTTTCAATTATAAATTTATGTTTTATAGTTTGTAAGAAGTAAGGCCAGATTTAATAAAACTACAAGAAAAGAAGATGACAAAGTAAATAGTATATTGTTAATTATTTTTGAAGAAAAATAATCTAATTTGTTTTGAATATAGTTATATCATCACAAGTATGTATTTAAAAATTATAAAAATATTAATTAAAATTTTAAATAATTAAGAGAAAATAAATTCGTATGAGGGTTTGCAAATTTAAGAGTAGTGGATTTCAAATTTTTTGGGCTAATCTTCTTTTTCCTCTTTCCTTTTTTTTTGGGGGGGGGGTTATTATTAGATTAAGATCGGGACGGTTTAAAATATTTTATTAGCACATGGTCTATTCTTTTCTCTCAATTTTATGTTTATAATGTATTGTCACAACTTTCAATTACACTTTTTCAGGATACATTTTTAATATTTCCTCAATCCCTTCGTTTTTTAGTCTCTTTGCAAGTTTTCTTCCCATTCTCTTTACTTAATTCCTTTATCAGCATAAAAAAAGTACAATTTTTTGTGGTGCAGTAAAAAAAAAAATCATCAAGAAAATGAGAAAGAGAAAAAAAAAAATAAAAGATTCAGTCAACCATACTCAAAAATTACGATGACGTTAGGAGTAAAAGATGACAGTAAATCTCGCTGGCCTCAAAAAACCTCTTTCGGGCAAACAAAATTAAACTCGCTTCCTCTCAAAAGTACTTCTTGTTTTGTCGGATTCCTCCTACAAGTACTTGAAAGAGCAATATTCAGTGCAGTCATTCATTCATCATCAAGGTCTTCATCCACAATTTGGTGATCTGGCAACCAAAAATATACACTTCTCTCTCGTCGCCGCTTCGAACTTGTTCGTTTCAACTGTAAATATATTTTGTTGTCCTTGCGGCGACGATGGAGGACCTTGGCTCGACAGTTTCCTCCCACACTGAATTTTTCTTAGCAGAGGTAATTTCTGTTCACAGTGAATGAATAAGTGAATGAAAATACATGTTCTACATTAAGTCATTTCAATTCTTTTATACTCCCACACTATTCTGCGTTTTGCCCAGCAATTTCTTTCTCCTTATTCTGACTTGGCTAGAATGAGATGGTCTATCTATTCCTGTAAATCAGAAGCTTTTATCCTTCGAATTTCTTATGCATATCAAAAGGGCTTGTTCTTCGTTGCATGGGCTTACACATAGTGTCTTCTAATTTATTCATAGATGGTGCAATTGGAGAATATATACAAGGAGATGGGAGAAAAATCTCTGTCTCTGGAGTTCTGCCAAGGGCTTGCAAACAGTTTTAGGTGAGTTAAGCCATATGTTAACTTCAATCTTCCACGAAGATGATAATGTTGTTTGTTTTTTTTTTTGGCCAAAATAATGTTGCTTGTTGCTCACCATCTTATTTGATAATTTGGCTTACATTTTTGCAGTTCCTCATTGATCCGTGCTGGAAAAGATCCAATATGTTGTGAACAGGTTTGTCATTGTTTCTTCATTGTTCTGACATTTTGGGGCTTTGTTCATAACATCTTTTAATTCTTTCTCTGTCTCTTTTTCCCCTGAGTTTTAGGTGCGAGATTGGTTCCGAAACAAACAGAAAGAGCCAAAAGCCGAAGTACCTTCACCAGCCAATTCGCCGAAACTTGTTGGTTCTTCTGATGCATCTACTATTACTGATGAACTTGAAACTTGTCCGAACCCAAAAGGTTATTCTTTTTTTTTTAATTATCTTTCTAACATATTAATTATCTTTCCATAAAATGCAGAAAAGGAAAAGAAATCTGTGGATGCAAGTTGTTTTTTTTTAATATAATTTAATGGGGCCCTAGAAATTACTCCAAAATTAAACCAGTGATGGTAACCTTACTGTGTCTCTAAAAAGTAAACTACTTAAGCCTTGAAGAGGCTTGCACCAGAAGCAAAGACCCTAAACGCTGCTGTAGTTAGCCATCCAGTCTGTATAGGCATTCCCTGCACTTTATGTGTGAGCAATTTGAACTTGCCAGTCAGTACCAATCTCTCTGCGGGCATGACTGTTGTGGAGTCAGTCTCTGTGACTATTTTCCTGTGTCAAATCTTCTTCATCCACCGGATCCCACAGCCAAGCCCCCATAGCTTGGCTTCTATTACTGTGCAGATGCTCGCATTTTTATCGAAGCCTCCTGATGATCTGGTGTTATGATCTCTAAGCACCACCCCCACACCAAGTTGCCCCTTAGAAGCTCCATCAAAGTTAAGTTTCACTTGTGAGGCTTGCTGATGTGAAATCTATGATTGCAGCCTGTTTGTCATAGGCATTTATATCATGCTGTATCTTCATTTCCTTCCCATATTAACAGGAGCATTTTGTTTCCATTTATATCATATTTAATTGATTTCACTTTCTGATATACCAACTATTAGAAATAACAAATATATTTCCTGGAAAATTATAGTTATTAGGTACTTACTGTCAAATTGTGATCTTATGATTTCTGTAAATCCTAAAGGCGCTGAGCTAGTGTGTGACATAGTGAGGCAAGTAAAATGACGTGATGTAAATTTTTTGTGGTACTAACTATTTTCTGATCTTTATATCAGATGTGAGAGTTCCTGATATTTCAGAATTGGCTTTTGAAGCTAGATCATCAAAGGACGCAGCATGGTGAGGAATTTTCTTCTGGTTAAGGACTTCAGATGTTGAAACGACTCGCATTACTGCATAACTAGATTTGAGCTGATCTGATTTCATTTTCGCTTAAATGAGAATTATATGTGAAGACATTATATTTTTTTGTGGTATTTCCAGCTGTAACAAGATCAAAGAAGACTCTGTTTTTCTTCGGAAAAAAAGCAGAATCTGTCTATGGTTACGTCCTGTTCACGTGCTCATCTGTTGGGGATGTTTGAGCAATGGGACTTTGTTTGGAGCATTTTTCCCTGTGAAAATCCCCTAAATTATGAGAACTTAAAAATAGAAAAAGGAAAGAGTTTAAATGATTTTAGAGGGTCAGTAGTAAATTCTTCATTATCATTTCTATTGTATTAATAACGCCCAAACGTGGGAACTGTTCCAATGAAGCCTTCAATTGCCTTCCCTTCCCCTCATCCAAATGTACTCGGAATCAGCTGGCAACTGTATCTCATGTTTCTTTGAATTTCCATTTACAGGTATGATGTTGAGTCATTTGTTTCCTACAGAGTTGTCAACAGTACTGGTGAACTTGTAAGATATTCCCATGTTATAATCTACTTACTTTTGAACCATTAATTGAATAAGTCTTTTGTCAATTTACAATTTGAATTTTCATTCACAGGTATGTTATTGAGTCATAATTGAATTCCACTGGAACCTGAACTCAACTGTTCATCTTTCCTTCTCTTGCTTTGCTAATACATTGACGTGATAGGCATTTTTTTTTTCCTTCACTTCATTTCATCCCAAGAATCTTTTGGATGAGGCAAGGAACTAAATCCCGTATTCCAAATCTTTAAGGGGTTGATTGCAGAAACACAAACCACAGGGTATTTTGCTAAATACTAGATGCTGGAAATCTATGCTTAGAAATTGCTCAAAGATAGATGCCAAGAGTTGCCTGAGGTTGATATTTTTATGATTAAACTGACTTCACTAATGCAGCTCCTTAACTTTTTTAACTCAAAAACTTCAGGTCCCATATGTGCTTGAGGGTATCCTCCTTCATTTTTTCCTTTTCTCTGCATTTCTAGTTGTCATCCATCTGTTTAGACTTAGGTTGAACCTTACATACCCACATGTTTGATCCTTCAAAAAGTCTCAACATGATTTTCCCACCAATTTCATAAACAGAAAAAAGGAATGATAACTAAATGTTTCACGTTATAAAAGTGTCACTGGGGAGCTAATTGAAGTCCTTGAATCTTGTGATGCAATTAAGGAAGTACGTGTACGATATGCCGGATTCAGTAAAAATCAGGATGAATGGGTGAATGTGAAAGAGTCAATTCGTGAGCGATCGATCCCATTAGTACCTTCTGAGTGTGACAAGGTGAAGGAAGGAGATCTTATGCTATGCTTCCAGGTAACGTTCTCGCGACCTTCTCTTTTCTTGTTCTTGATAGCAATTCATCTTCAAACTTGTAGCTGAAGTAAATACTCTCTTTACTTTCAAAATCATGTAGTGGTGTCTTTTTCCTATGGTAACATGATCAATATAGCTAGTGAGTTTAACATGAGTAGAGTCTATTCATAACCGAGATGGATTCCTTTATGTTAGTATTCTCTAAAGGCTTTGTGGTAATCAACAGGAAAGATATGATTATGCTGTCTATTGTGATGCTCGTGTTGTTAAAATCCAAAGAAGGCCTCACGATCAGACAGACTGTAGATGCATCTTCCTCGTCCGATACAGCCATGATAATTCTGAGGTGATATTTGATGAACATGTTTCCTTTCGTCAAATTAATGTGTTATTATGTTTATTCATGCTACTAAACATGTTGCACACTTCTCGTCCGAGCTAACTCGTTTCCTTGGTTTTCGTTACTGGGTTCATCTTCTTCCTTGTCTGTTTGAATCTCTATTGCCTCTGCTTAAACCCTGAATCACATGCTTGTAGCAGGAGGTAGTTCAGTGGAACAGGCTATGCCGGAGACCGGCACTCCAGCAGCCTGTTGTCTCCATTAATCCCATAGCTGATCTGTGGGGATGAGGAACAGCTGATTGCAGTCTTGAGGATCCCAAAAAGGGTCGAAGCTCCCTGCTTTCTGGGCAAATGTGTTATTTATTCTGTTAGTTTGGCTAAAAAGAAGTGTACTGCTATTAATTTGGTTAAACTATATTTTTTATGTAGCTATTTGACATCCATCATAAGGTTAGATTCGAGCAATATCGGCTCAAGCAGAAGTAGCTTTTGTAAATGTGTTTTCTGCGTTCGCAGTCACACGAGCTCGAACTTAAGACCTTGTACTTCAACCGTTGTAGTTTTAGTCAACTTTTAATTTTAACTTGATTTCTGTGATTTGAAAAATTGCAACACTAGTTTCAAAAATTTTAATTCAGTCTACTGCCATTGAACGCTTCTATTTTTATTTTATTTTTTTGGGTGCTGGATTTTGTTGATATGGCAACTGTGCATCATCCTAAGGTTTAACATGCACATCATTGTATGGGAACTAAATATAGGTGTAAGCAGGGCTGTGGATCAATCAATGTAAATTGTATGTGAAGTTCATTTCTTGTAAATAGGTGGTGTTATCCAACTAATGATACAAGTCAATGCTTTTCCCCCTTGCTGAGAACAATATTTAGTTGCATTGACTATTTAACTTGTTTAGATGATAGAAGGTCAGAGCATTCAAGAATCATGCAATTTAGCTCAATGGCATTGTTGTAATTAATACAAACCCCAACATTTAGACAGCCCTAACCCCTTATTTGGTTGGAAGAAAAAGAGAGAGGAGATTTCAATGAATATAATTTTTTTAAAAATTGGATAAATTAGTTTATGAACTTTTAAAAAAGACAAGATGTAAATAAAATAAAAGATTAAGAAAAATTAATTAAAAACTATTAACCCCATTTCTCTATTTTTTTTTTAATTTAATATCCATCTCACCTTCGTTGCTGAAACTTCCTGTCACTCCATTATCGACTTCAGTAGTCCAAGTTGCCGCATTGCAACATTCGAACACCTTTTAAGAAGCATACAATTGTGTTCCTCAAAAGTGCTATAGTTGACCACTCGAGCTTGCCTTTTCTGGAATCATTCATCGGATTGGCCTTAACCACATGCACAGCTTTGAGATTTGTGTATTTTTAATATCATGACCATTCCTCACCGTGGTTATACAAAAATACGACACTAATTTCGACTCTGTAGAAAGAAATCCTCAGTCCCGTACCTTAAATTTTTGCATTAGTGACTCCAAATCATCAAAAGATTGCCCGGCCACAATTTTAATAATCCAAAATGGTGAAATTCAAAAGAAAAGATTACTAGTTTCTAATTGATACCCAGTGGAAGGTCAAATTCATGACAATATCTCTAAGATCGAACTAGGATTTTATCGAAGAAAATAAATCCTTGTCTGCCAAGCGTCAAAGTGATCAATGGCATAGGACCAGAATCTCCAAGCAACACTGGCAACACAGGTTTTCCGGTCAGATTTCTACATACAAATAATTAGAACTATTCATCAAAACTTCTTGGGCTCTGTACCATGCCATGTCACATTCAATGAATGGGGCTTCTCAGGAGGACAGCCAGAGTCAGCTAAATAAAGAACCCTAGGATGCAGGTCAAGAAACTGTTCTTCCATAGCAAATAGATGCAATATAGAGGTTTTTCGCCCACTTCTCCTGCAAAAGCCAGCACAATAAGTTCAAACCAAAGACTCCAAATACCTTTATAATCGGAACCAAAGCAAACTGCTACAAGACATCCTTAAAATATTGACCCACCTTGACATGTACACTAGGAAAAGATGAAGTTCTGAGCGTTTCCTGTGTTTCATCCGCAGGTTTCCTCCTAGGCACACTGAGGACAAATGCAGCTTGATCAAAAGTTGCTGCAGTTGCTGTGATACGGTATCCGTAATCCCATCGTTTGTGAATCCCTTCACTGGGATAAAGAAAATCTAGTTCAACCACCTGAAAGGACATGGATATTAAGCTAACAAGATGCATTTTTTCGTTAAGAAAAACTAAGATGAATCTCTTATCCAAAATATAACCTGATCGGAAAATCCTGCACCACGAGACATAACTACTGCCCATCTGCTACCAGCAGTGGCCATTGCCGTGACATAAAAACCCTCCCTCCATTTTTTGTTAATCCACTTGAATGGAAATGAATCACTCACTTTGTAGGATTGCTGTACAAATTGTGTGCCTGGATTCCACAAATCAAGTCAGAAAGTAAGTCAAAATTGGCCAAAGCAATAAGACAGTATGCTAGAAAAACTAACCCTTAGACATCACTACTAACGAACTCCCATTTGCAGCTCCAGCTATTGCACTTATATAGTAATTTTTTTCCCACTGATCCATTATCCATTCCTTCAAATACATAAAAATAGAATTATTTCCAAATAAACAAGACTGCGATACAGCAAGTAACAATTCTACAGGCGTGAAAAATCACAAGCAGGTTGAGGTTACCTTGTGGAGAAAATAGGGAGAGAGTTCATAAACTTGGGAAGAAAAACCAGTTCCCGCATCCATGATCAAAGCCCACAGGTTCTGACATGAAGCCACACTACTAATATATAAACCATCTTCATTTCCTTTCTCAATGTGCTGGGACAGCCTTGCATCTGCCACATTGTAATGATATCTAGAAAGGAAAAAGAAATGATTCGTGCATGTGAGTTCCTCAATATCAGATACAGTTTGCGAGTGGAAAATTCTGAGCATCCATTTCCAGTGTTAAATAAATCAAATCTGATGAGAGGTAATGAACATAGAACAAATAAACACAGAAAACAGCAAACAGATTCAAAGAGATGGTACAGCTATAAGAATCTCCCTCCAGATTACTGTTACAAGGGGGAAATGCTCAGTATCTCATTGCATTTGCATAAACTTCTGTCTTTGGCTAATAATCAGATCATTGCATGAACTTCAAAGTAACTGAAAAAATAACTGCATTCTTAGCCAGAATACTTAAGGCTTGACAGCTTATATTACCTTTGTTTCATTGGTCTCCGAGCATTGTAAACACTTATCCATTGTGTTGCTGGCATACCCATGCGGATCTTCTTTTTAGGTTGTTCATCATCCTCTTCTTCCATGGCCAACCGACCTCTCTTGTGACCAATGAGCTACACAGAATTTTTTATTTTTTTTTTAAATCACATTTACAAAGGACTGGAAATTTCAGATGCCTATCACAAGAGTCAGCAAAACCAATACCTTTTGTGCACCTTCCGTATTAATTGGCCTAATATCTGGATTTGGACCAACAATGCCATCAAACAGAGAAATATACTTTGCATAGTTAGGATCTTCATCGAACTTCAAGTTCACCACATGTTCAACAAACTGTCTAAAAGGCTGGGGACAGAAACAACATAGACTCTCCGGAGAAGTTCCCATCTTCTTCTTGCAAACAAGAAACCCTTTGTTTTCTCCCTGAGAAAAGCATGTTAACAACTGATATTCTGAATATAGTTATAGCACTAATATAATTGTCAAATATGTCCAACCTGATACCCCTGCCAAGGGAGACGACCTCGAAGAAGGAAAATCAATGTATAAGCAAGTGATTCCAGATCATCCCTCCTGCTGCCAGTTCTTCCCAAGTGTGCATGCACACTGGCATAGCGAACCGTGCCCCTAATAGAAACAGAATGTTACAATACAGGAGCCATAAGTTCACAGAGAATTGAGTGAAGTAAGCTACATAAAGAGAATATTGACAACCAAATTCAATACCTAAAAACATCTGGGCGTTGGTCATATTCCACGTGCATACCTGTTGTACTATCCCTCCATCTAGTAGCTGTCAGCTCAAATCAGCGAAGTTACAAAAAAGGTGAAATTGCTGCTATAAAAATGAACATAAAAGGTAGCTACTTAGAAAATAACCAATCATACCTAATCCAAGATCAACAAGAAAGAGCTTTTTTTCATCAGGTGTCCCAGGAGGACCTAGCAGAAAATTTTCAGGCTTCACATCCCCATGCACATACCTGCCACAAGTTACAGTCAAGTTTCAGAATGATATTTTCCTCTACTAAGCAGAAAATCGAAGAGGATGGCTCCATAAGAAGAGTTATTCACACTGATACAGTATAAGAAAACAAACAAATGATTTTAAGGCAACATGCAGTTATGAAGCTAAGAGCGAACTACATAAACTCTTGTTTTTACTTCCAAAATTTCATATGCCTCTTTCATCTTTGCCCTATGTTTTGACAGACATATGACCTTACTGATTCCCAAATTACACAGAACTTCCTTCAAAGTATAAACAAACACATTCCTTTCTATTATATGAAAAAGGAAGGTCCATGTAACTAATTCAGATGTTGGAAGATCTTTATGATTTAACTGTATACCATCAAACAAAACTCGTTCTCACAATTACTAAATTGAATACCTCAACCAGCTGAAAGAGAAAAAAATCAACAGGAAAGTAGAAATTGCACCCATCCCCATGCAGGAAACTATCATAGTGCTAATTCGTTAAGAGACGGCAGAATTGGCTCAACAATTATACACACTATCAAGAACATTCAACACCCTCTTCTTCTCAATTTATATATCTTCAAAAAAGTCACAAAATGAGACTGGTCGCAGACAAAAGGGAGAAAATTACCCTCGAGAGTGCATCTTTTCCAATATAGATATTGCTTCAATGGCAATACAAGCAACCATTTCAGTGGACATTCTGAGTTTTACAAAAGAAAGTAAGCTGAGTAAGTAAAGGTCAGAAGTCACACATTTTAGCAAACGCATGATTGATATTTGATGACTGAGTTTTCGAAAACTCACGTGTGAGAGTTATTATTCCAAACATCCCACAAACTAGGTCCCAACATGTCCATAACCTGAATGCATTAAAGTCTTGAGTCAAAAAGCCAGTCCTCGCATGGCAAAATCAGATAGAAGGAACATTGGAATAGTTTAAAAAATTACAACAATCAATGAAGAATATGTCTAAGCAGCATACCATGACATAATAGTCACCTTGCTTTCCCTTGTAGTGTACTCGTGGTACACCATGACTTCCCCCAAGAGTACTGTACAAATAGAAAATGAATTAATATGGGATCAAAACCACGCACCAAAAACTGACTTGGAAAAAAACACAAACTCAGCCCACCACCAACATAATACAGAAGTTCAACATAAAGGGAAAAGGTCAAAAGAAGCAATATCACCCACTTGTACACTTGCCACTCATAAGGCGGTCCATAGTTACATCCTTTACTACTCCTATGCTCAAATTTTAGAGCAACCTGATAGAAAAAATAACAAACCGTGAATCTCCAAATTTAATGACAAACGTAAGGAATTTAATAAACATGAGATATCACTTATCACCCAATATTGTAAAGAAGCCTATACCTCAACGGCTCCAGGTCCAGTCCTCTCATTCATATTTACACCAGAAATTCGACGACCGACATACACTTGTCCAAATCCTCCCTTGCCCAATTTTCTCTCTATTTTATACACAGGGGATCCACCAACTTGAACCTGTAACAAGTGAAGAACAATAGTTTAACAATTAAAAATTTACAAAATGTTATATACAAGTTATTAAATGGAAAACAAGTCCAGTATGCCCAATGGCAAACCAAAATAAGTACTTTTCAAAAATGACTAATCTCAAGTTTTTCACTGATCACCCCAAACAGCCAAGATATCCTACCGGTTTGAAGATTAATTGAGCGCTAAACCTAGAGATAATATCTATTTCTTGTACTCTAAAAAAAGAGTTCATTTTTCACTCTTAAAATCATTTTTTCACTTAATCTTCTATTGCATTCTGTATGACTATATGTCAAATAGCTTAAGCTCAACTTAACATATTTCAATGAAGGAATAGACCATGTTTGCCATCTCGTCAAGAGACTTACGTTACACTCGACAACTATCACATGTAAGCAACTAAAATACCACCAAAGTTCAAGGAATAATATGCGTAAGAAATTATTAATCATCAGACCGGTGGGGAAAGCCCAGACCTTCTCAGGAAGCGGAGCGGTGCTCCCCTCATCTTCACCGGCATTACCCTTATCATTGCTCCTGGCTCCACTATCGTAGTCATCCATTTGCTTCTCCCCAACCTCTTCTCTCTGCGCTCCACCAGCAGCAGCTTCACCAACACGAACTCCGTCGTCCAAGCCCTTGATCTCGCCCTCCTTCACCGGTACAGCTACCTTCTCATCGACCACCACCTGCTTCTGTTGTTTGTTGGCCTTAGGCTCTGCTGCCGCCGCCGCCGCCGCCCGCCTCCCTCTTGTTCTTGTTGCAATTGCTTCCCCTTCCCCGATCAATGGACTATCTTGCTGCTGCTGCTGTTTCTTCGCTGCTGCCCGGCCCCTGCGCACTCCACCACGCAGTACCGGCATCGTTCATCCTCCAAATCTCATCCTCCTCTCAGGAATACCCGGAAGAATGTCAAAAATTATAAATTTTGCGCCGTACAGACACAGTTCACTTCGGATCAGAACCCACCGAACCCGAAACTCGCAAAACCGACAGAAATCAAATGAACGACTTCAGACAAAACTTCATACCAGACCTTCACGAATTTGCGCGAAAATTGCAACAGAAAACGAAGGTAAACACAGATCAAAGTAACTAGCACAATCAAAAATCCAGGTTGCGATGCTATCTTCCCGAATATCTAGAACTCCGCGAATCTTTGAGTAGTTGATCGTGGAACCCGAATTAGGGTTTCGAAAGAAATCGAACACTGTAGAAGAGAAGCGATCGACGGGAGGGAGAGAATGGCGGTGTGCTGGTGCACTTTGTGAGACGTAGAACACAAAGTTCGATATTTTTTTTCGAAAAAGAAATTGCAAATTACCGGAAAATTTGGAAATTCAAAAGTTATTGTTGTCACCCTTGGATCCGTCGATTGGAGAAAATTAAACGGCCAGATTAGGGTTCACAGAGAAACTGACGTTCATGAAAATATGAAAACGAGCTGAAATTACTAAAAAGGGCTCAGGGGGGTGATCTCCTGACGCACCTACGAGCCTTTGCTGGGCTACAACTCACAGGTGGAGAAAAACTAGTAGTGCGATCGTTCTTTGGCCGCGGAGATGCTTTCACGCTCGCCTTTGGTTCCGCTAGATAAGCAGGGATAAAAAAAGAGGATAAATGATTAATTTTTGTGATAATTTCATTTAAAAAATATTATGTGATGGACGGATACCGAAAGCCACATGTAACTTAAATCTCTGATTTGTTTAAATTTAAAAAATAAATAATTTTTATAAATTTAAAAAAAATGATGAAAATCAATTCATTATATATAGTTTTAAATAAAAGAAAAATCATTTTTATTTAGTTACAGTCATGAAAAGTTAATTTTTTTTAATAGTAATTTTTAAATTTTATTATATCTTTATATATTTCCATTCATTAAAAAAATAATTTATTATAGTATGATATATTTGTGCACTCTTTTATTTTTGTGACATTCTCTCTAATTGTTTTTAAACACTATTTATAGTAACTATAGTTTTTTCATATTTTTTGTTATTTTCAAAAGTTCAAACAAATATTATAAGATTTTACAAGATTTACTTTTTTAAAAAATAAATGTTTGTGAAAAAAATGCTTAAACAAATAGGGCTTAAACTTTAAAGAAGCGCTTACAAGTTGCAGGTGACTGAAAATTTGAGGAAATTATGTATCATGAATCACACGTTATGTTTTGATAATAAAAATATCAATAGAATTATCTGCGCATGATTCCCAATTTATTTTATAAAACTTGCTCAAAGAAATTTCCTGCCTTTTGTTTTAGAATTTATGAACATTTTTTTGGTAATAATTTATGAATAATTAAATCTTAATAGGCCTCCAAATTTCCTGAGTTTTATTGGACCAGTCCCTTCCGCGGTCCACGGGCCCAAAAAAGCCTACTAATCTCTAATTTCCATCCTAATCAAACCAACCATAAATAAATAAATAAAAAAGTTGCTCCTCAACTAATGGGCTCAATGATGTTAAACCTCAATCTACGGCCTCAAAGCCGATTTAAACACTATTTATAGTAACTATAGTTTTTTCATATTTTTTGTTATTTTCAAAAGTTCAAACAAATATTATAAGATTTTACAAGATTTACTTTTTTAAAAAATAAATGTTTGTGAAAAAAATGCTTAAACAAATAGGGCTTAAACTTTAAAGAAGCGCTTACAAGTTGCAGGTGACTGAAAATTTGAGGAAATTATGTATCATGAATCACACGTTATGTTTTGATAATAAAAATATCAATAGAATTATCTGCGCATGATTCCCAATTTATTTTATAAAACTTGCTCAAAGAAATTTCCTGCCTTTTGTTTTAGAATTTATGAACATTTTTTTGGTAATAATTTATGAATAATTAAATCTTAATAGGCCTCCAAATTTCCTGAGTTTTATTGGACCAGTCCCTTCCGCGGTCCACGGGCCCAAAAAAGCCTACTAATCTCTAATTTCCATCCTAATCAAACCAACCATAAATAAATAAATAAAAAAGTTGCTCCTCAACTAATGGGCTCAATGATGTTAAACCTCAATCTACGGCCTCAAAGCCGATTTAAGACCATTGAAAAGCCCCATTCTTGATTCTCTGCATCAACCCTTTGCATGAGGCATGAGCGATGAATTGGCTATGGAGGTAAATAATAAAGATTTCATGATATACATCATCAAAAGAAATACTACACCAATAAAAATTGAATCTAGTAAAAGAGATTAATTCATCATAATGTGACGAACTAAATTTTAAATTTAAAAAAGATACTCACATTTATTGCCTAATAATATTTCAAATAAGAGTACCTTTAATATAAAAAAATATCGGTGGACAATCAAAAATAAAAATAAAAGAAGTACTTGATTTACAAAAAAAAACAAAGAAAAGAAAAAAAGAAGTACTCTCTTTGCTTCAATGGAGTTAAATGTTTTTGGGCTTTTTGGCATTGGATGATATAATGTTTGGCATGCTGCCAAAAAAAAAAAGTTAATAGGTGAACAATTAAAAAAGTAATGAATACGGGAATGAGTTGAAATAGACATGACAATATGGGAAAATTAATCATAACTCTTTATAATTTTTCATAATTTTGAATTAGATCTCTGTATTTTATTTTCTTTTAATCAAGCTAGATCCATTAAATATGTTAATCTATGAGAACAAAAATTATTAATGAATAATTAACTTTTTCTAAACAAAAATACTTTTCAAATTTTAGAAAATCTGATGTAATATTTTTGGCTTAAAAAAAAGAAAGATTTAATATAATGTTTACAATTTTAGTAATCCTTATGAAAATTTTATATGGATGAAAATCATCTAAAAGAATAATCTAATCACATAAATTTTGAGTTATAAAAAATATATATTCAATTTTAAATTTATATAATTTTTAATTAAAAATAAAAGCTCCAAATTTCATTTTTTAAAAGAAAAAAATTAAGAATTTTAATATTCATGGATTAATAAATTTAATGGATAAAACTACAAGAACTCAATTAAAACAAAATGGGATACAAGTACGTAATTCAAAATTAAGAAAAATTATAAAGACCTGCATACTAATTCACCCAAGAAAATAATTTTTGGTTTGCATTGAAAGAGAAAGAGAATTTGTTTTCAAAATTAGGTATGGCATAATACAAATAAAAATGAAATTCAAAAGGAATAATAGAAGGACCTAAACACTCTAAAAAGGAAAGTAGTGTTATTCATATTAGAATAAGTTAAATCAAAAGAATAAGTTGATTTAACTTCCTCAACTTTTATATTATGAATAATAATATAAAGAATAAGTTGATTTAACTTCGTCGATCTATATATTATTATTCTTATTCTAGAGGATAGAGTTTAAGTCTTATTACATATACTCATATTAAATAAGTATATTAAAAACATTTACACAGAGATGGGGATGAAATCCCTGCATGCGCGCCAAGTTAAGTAAAAAAAGAAAAGGTGACACAGAATATCCATGCACCCACAGGTTATGGCATACAAATTAGCCTCCTCCACGCTAAGCTTTGTTTCTCCTACCTCCTCACCGTTGTTCCTATAAATACACAACCCCTTTGCCCCTTCCTCTTCAATTCATCTCTTCGTGCGTGTCTCTCTCCGGACACCAAAAGCGAAGAATCCAAACAACCCCCCCTTTAAAGCTGTAGACAAATCAAAGAGCAATTCAATATAATACAGCAATGGAAAGCAATTTGCCAGTAATATCCAAGAGAGCATGCAGCGTTGCACGCGTCGTCTTCTTCATGCTCCGTAAAGGCTTCGCCAAAGGGAAGCTCATGATGGACCTCAACCTCATGCTCAAACGCCGTGGCAAGCTCGCCGGAAAAGCCATCGCCAACTTCATCTCCCACCACCACCACCATGGCAGCTCCGCCGACGATGCTTCCCTGCAGTTCTCCACCGCACGCGAGTACGAGTTCAGCTGCAGCAACACTCCCAACTACAGCTTCTTCTCCAAACGCCATCCCCGTCACTTGTTCGCGTGTGCTCACGCGCCACTCACGTCGGACGATGACGCGGTGGCGGTTAATAATGCCCTTACCGTGGCGTTGGAGATGCTGGATGACAAAAAAGGCAAGGACGTGGTGGAGGCCTCCCCGGCGCTTCCCTGGTTTAGGCGGACCCGGACGGTGAGACAAGTGAGGGTGACGGACTCTCCGTTCCCGGTGCAAGACGGCAACGACGACAGGGACGATCAGGTTAACGAGGCGGCGGAGGAGTTCATAACGAGGTTCTACAAGGAGCTGAGGAAGCAAGATTGAGCAATTTCGCACATGTTCTGTGTTAAGACTTAATCATAATTAATTAACCGTAAAACAACGAGCAGTTTTGGATATGTTGATGATAATTATCCCCAGCTCAGTTTTCGTCTTTTGTGGGTTTGGTGATTTTGGCTTCAAGGTCATTGCAATTTCAGATACACGTATTGTGTACTTTTAATTGTTTTGTTATCATTATCAATAAATAAAAAATCGAATGAAACATGCTATATGAACGGTCAGTATCTCTCTGTTCTTCTTTCAGCTTTTCTCTTTCATTTTTGTGCCTCTTCATTTTTGCACCAGTCTGCATGTGTGTGTGTGTGTGTCATTATATTTCCCTTCATTACGGTCCATGAAAGAGTTACATTGAAAGTGAGCACTTGTTAGCACTAGGCCAATTCCAATTATATACTTTTAGTCTCTGATCAACTAATGTAAACAAATGTAATTTGGCACTGTATATTGACAAGCAGAAATACATTTGTTAGTGTTGCTCATAAAAATTAATTTCAAAACTCTTTGCAATATGACGAGACTCATGTACGTTGTCATTATAACTTAAAACACCCAGTTAAGAATCAATAAAATGATCAAACAAACCAATTAATATTGGCGTACCAGAGTGGCAAATATTTTCATCACTCTTGATAAGCAAAGTGGTTGGGGGTTTGAGAGGGGTCTATTCATTGCTCTTAGTATCTTGAGAGAGATATTATCTGCATTTGGCTAGCCTACTCCTTATACTTATTAATTAACAAAATGATTAAACAATTGGAAATTGAAGAGGAGTAGAATAAGAAAAAAAAGTAATAGAAGATTACACACAAAATTTAAAGTGAGAAAACCTCCAACATGAGAGATAAACCCATGAATAATGAGAGAAATTTCACTATAAAAATAGAGTTTACAATGATTAATCTCTCTCTCTCTCTCACATACGTAAAAACGTAAAGACTAAATATAAATTGTTTTAAAAATAAAAATATTAAATTAGCTACTAAATAATATGCACTGAAATCTCAATTATAAATACAATAGAGATGTGATAAATTTTAAACAAAATAAATAAATAATATTTTACGTATTATAAAAATTTGAATCATACCCTCACCACACTCTAATTATATATATATATATATATATATATATATATATATGCACGCTTTACAGTAGACTCTTTTCTACCTTATAACTAATGTACTTTAAACCCCCTCCATATTAGAATGGGAGAAAAATAGGGAAAAGAGAAAATTAAGCTGGAAAAATAAAATAAGAGGGCATTCTCCCATGAAAAATAATGGTGGAAAATATCTTTTTCCCATGACTTTCTTCCCTTTGTATTTTCATCTCATTTTAAACAAAGCATATTTTACATCATTTTTTTAGAAATAGGATAGAAATAGGATCGATACTTGTGGTGAATATTAATAGTATATGGAGGGTATATTCTGAACGTTAGAATGGGGGAAATCTCATTTGGAAGCTATTCGGCTTTAGGCACATGATCAAAGACTGGGTTTAAAAAAAAATCAAAATGAAAGCAACGTTTGAATTATGATTGGACCTAACCTTTGTTCGTAGGGCTAACAGGAGAAAGCTTAGCATCAAAGAAAATCTACTTTCGCTGTACGTAAGGCCCTCCTTTCACTTGTCTTTCTCTAAAGTCACCTTCTGCGCTCCTTCACTAACCATGCATCTATACATGGCTTTTATAAAAACGTCATCCTATTGACTTGATTAGCTTGTCGTTTTCGTCTAATTTCCATATTTATATGATTATTATCACACACATAAACGTCACCTGAAATTTTGACAACTGTTACACATAATAAATTAACAATGTATGCTACCATCCAGATATTTATTAGTTCAATTGATAAGGGAGATACATTAGTTTAACTAAGATTTATAGAATTCAAGTCTTGAGAATGCATCTGCATTAATGATAGAACTTTCACTTGAAAGGATCTCATGTTGACCTAACCTAAATTAGTTTGATCTTTGGAGTTCAGGTACTAAGATCAGAGGATGGGCGGGTTTGAGTCTAGAGATATCAAAACTCTTTTAATGTAACAAAAGCAGTTAATTAATAATGTTTAATTTGCTTTTTTAAGAAAATTATATGCTGTTTAACTTTATTAATTACTATTGTTGTTGTAATGCATTGCTACCTACAGCTAAATTTACAATTGAGCTCCACGTATGCTTTTGTAATAGTGTGAAGAAAATATCTTGCAGCCAGGCTGTCTTTTTCACTTTTTTTTTTTGGTCATTTGGTAGTCGGTTGTCTTTTTCACTTTACTTAAGTATATAGCTCGCAGGCGTGTCAAAATGTATGCTCTATCTTGCCTAATTGTGATTCATGTGAATGAAGTTTTATGCTTTTTTATTCAAAACTATATACTCTAAAGTTGAAGATTTTATATTTTTCGTTCAACATTTTTTTTTAAAGAAATGTAATTTTTCATTAAAACACAGTAATACAAGCAATATATATAAACTTCTATGGAACGATCATGAATGCAAGCAAAATGCAAGTTAATTCAAGGAATTAATTAATTATATTGTGGGTATTCCTGGGATTAAGATCATCTAAATAACAAGGGTCCTAGCAGAGAGATTAGTTGTTGTCGGGAAGCATAATTGAGATACAAAGCATGTAAGCAAATTAAAGATTGAGGGGGAAAAATGGCTTTAATAAAGGTGTGCTTCGATTTTCGTCATGTGGAATAATTTTTGCAGTTAGGGTCTCGTAACTTTTTATAATGCTTTTGCGTTAATGGGGCTACATTTTAGACCCATTCACGTTTAATTATATATAGCAATTTACTCAATGAAAGAGAAGCTCTCGATATGCTATAAGATTAATTAATATTTAATTAATGGGTTTCTTTGCCAATTAAGCCAATTACGTCCCTTGCACCAACGACAAAGTAAAACTTGTAGGACACCTTTTTGAATGCATTAATAATGAAAGTGTAGCCCATATAGGGCCATACATTTGTTGGCTGACAGCTACAACATATGTACTATATATACATATACTGCATAGTAGTGATGGTTCTTATACTGTGTTTAACTGATTTTTCATAATATTTTTAAATGAAAGCTTTCTTACCCATGATCTGGTGTGGTGGAGATGATAATTCTGATGACTAAATTTAGCGTGAGTGGTATAAACTTTTATTAATTAAGCAAGTGGTTGGAGTTTGAAGCTAAATCTTTGTGCATGTAGCAATTTAATTAAAAGAGGTCTACTCATTGCTTATGATATTTTGAAAGAGATATTCTCTATCCTACAAATAAAAAAGGATTAAATGACAATTTGACTCTAAACTATACTCCAAAAATGTTTAGGATTCTAAACTTATTTTTAATATAATATTTTTTTTTATTTTTAAAAATGGTATAATATTGTCACCACCGTTAGTAAAAGTTAATTTTAAATGTTAATTGATTAAAAAATGACAAAAAAATCTAAAAATTACAAATTTTTGTTTTTGCTTGCAATTTTGTAATCTTTTTTTTTTTGTATTTTTTAAAGTAATTTTTTGTCATTTTGTGATCAATTAACTGTCAAAGTTAATATTTGTTAACTGTGGAGGCAACATTACACTATTTTTAAAAGTTAAAGGAAAATACTATATAAAAATAAATTTAGAGTCCCAAACACTTTAAACCCATAATTTAAGAGATAAATTACTCTTTAACCAAAAAAAAAAGAATGATAGTTAAGTCCTAAATTCACTAAAAAATAAAGAGAGAATTGATAATAGTTATATTTTGAATAAAAATTAAAAAATAAATTGAAAATATCTATTTAAAATTATTGTTGTTTCTGCCTTTCTCTTGTTTTTTTTTTTTGTTCAGTTTTTTGTTGTTTATGTTGTTTTCTTCTTTTTCAGGTTCTTGTTTTTTCTGTCTTTTTTTAACCTCATAGGTTGCATCTTTAGACTTTGTGTCTTTTTTTTTTTTTTATCTACGACTATTGGTGCATGTGCATGTGTAATATTTTTTTTAGTGATTAATAAAGACAAAAAAATATCATAGTTGAGATTTCTATTAGTAACATTCTATGAATTGATGTTTGCAATTATTTTTAAACATTTATAATGAGAAATTAATTGTCATTAATTCATTCTTTTAAGATTTGATTATCATTCTTCTTTCTATATGCGAACGCATTACTTGCAACATATATAAATGCATATTTCCCTTAAATATTGTTAATGGGAGACTTAAAGTATTAAGTTAATGGGCGAAAAAGTTCTACAAATTAAAGAAAATTCAAGAAAAGAAAATGTATCCAAACTTGGGGAAGAAAATATCTTGGAGCCACCTAGTTATCTTTTTACTTAACAATGAAGTACTTTTAAAATTTCTCTAAAAAATGACTGGAAACCTAAAGGAATGGTTTCCAAACCTCGGTGAGTATTAGAAGATCCAAGCAACACAACTTCTGCAATCTGCCTGTAGCTTTTGCTCTCCTTTTCCGATTAATCATATGTTAATGTTTAACAATTTTTAATTTTTAATTAAATATTTTTTGTTTATCATTATCATTATATAATATTTTGTAAAATGAAAATCATGATGTATTGTTCTTATATTAATTGATCAAAAGATATATTGCTCTGATACTGTGCTTTATTGATTTTTTTTAATTTAATTTTCAAATGAAAGTCTGAGAGCCTGATCGAGTTTTATACTGTTATAAAAAGTTTTGGGGGAACAAACACTGTATAATTAATTTCTATGAATCTCGTAATTTATTTTTTTAAACAATTTTGTTATTACAGAGAGTACAGTGAGTTAATATGTGAAGAAACCTTATATTTAATGAAGTTGGGATAAAGATAAAAAAAATATGTGTATAATTGAGTGAAACGACACGAGGTTAATTAAGGGATAGTATTGTGGCCATTTATACCCACACACAAACAATCCCAATTAATATGATTGATAGACGCCTAGTTATGGAAGAGATCATTCATTAAGAA